TTGAGATTAGTAAAGCTTAGGATGTCGTTTTACACTCTGCTTTAATTTTTTGCAAAGCATCACTTCCGACCTGCCTGATGTTTTTCCTGAAACTGTTTTGAAACATTTAAGGTCCAAAGAACAGCTGCATCTATTCTGAGATCCAATTAACACCGGTAGGCATGTTTAATAATTAGGAGATATAAAAAAAAAATTGTTTGAACTCGATTTTTTATTTATTTATCATGGTTATTTGACTAAATGGCCCAAAAAATATATGTACACTACATTCTCCCCTTTAATAAAAATAATTTTTTAAGTCCTTGTGTTAGCTTTCTTTTAGCTTACATTTATGAACACAGTGTGGTGTTAAACTAGAGCAGCATATTTCTCCTCTTTAATAAATGAGAATAATAATAATCCTAGATTTATTTTAAATAGACTTTAATAGACAAAACTCACTCAGAGCCATAGCTGTGTTGAATTGACCATTCAACCTGCCCTTAGCAGTAATGATTTTATGGAATTCTTTGTAAACTAGATTGACTCTTTTAAAAATAAAATCATTGGCACCCCTCTAAATATGATTGTTTTATCTCTGGAAGTTGAGGTAGCATCTGAGGGAACTATAGGATCTAAACTGGGTTTAGATTGTTCTGATTCTGTTGAACTTATCCTGAGTTATCTCTCTCTGCTATAGTTATGCAGACAGCTGGAAGACATATGGATATTTATTTATTATTCTGGTTCATTCTATCTCTATGCTTCCATTCTGCAGTATTTAAGTTCCACCCAAAACTTTATGTACTCTTTGCTTTTCCTTGTCATAATAACTTCATCTGGTCAGTTCCCGTGTTGCTGTGACACCATCCTGGAGAGAAATATCAGCTGGGCTGCTGCCATCAGCAGCTTTGTTTATAGAGGTTTTAGATTCGCCTGTTTTTCAGAGTAGTCCTGTCCTTTCACTATGAATAGCTGTATGTACTCTTTTTCATCCTCTGAGCCTGTTTCTTCTGGAGGTTTCTTCCTGTTAAAAGGGAGTTTTCCTGTCCACCATTGCTACATGCATGCTTGGTGTGAGGAATTGATGTTGAGTTAATGAGTCAATGCAATCAGCTGCTTTTCCTTAGAGAAAAAACTTCTAACAAGTTTGACTGTATGATCTGGTTGAGTTGTCTCAGTAAAGTGCCTTGAGATTACATTTGTTTTGAATATAAATAAACTGAATTAAATTGTTATCGCAGATAATAAAGGTTTGTGCTAACACCTCAGCAGCATGAGTAAACATTTAAAGTGGTTTGAGCACAGTTGCAAGGCACTGTCTGTTACATGTTTTCTAAAATCTAGGTCAGAAACATTAGAAATTATAAAAAAAACTTCATGGTTAAGAAAAAGATAAAACCTAAGCTTAGTTTCTGAAATAGAGCCAATAGATAGATATTTTGTTGAGGTAATTTTTTAGATTCTCTTTATTAGGCACATAAACAGAGTTAAAATCAAAGAATAAGTGGTTGAAGTTTGTCTCAAAGAATATCATATTTGTATTGTATTTTAATCAGAATGCTGTCATTATTGTCTTGTCAGGTACCCTGTTGGCTCCGCCCTCGAGATCGCACCCGTTCACCTGACATCCTGAGCAATATGTCACGTCCCACAACGCTTCCTCTTCGCATCCCTCCTCGTATCTCCATCACACAAGCGGACACTGACGGGTATCCTATCATTAAACACATAACAAAATACACATTGTTCTTCAATTTAAACCTTTTCTGTATTTTTCTTTTGATTTTAGCTGTGAAGCAGAAAATGGCATATCTCCAGCTCACACCCCTCTTGGCTCCCAGAGTCCGAGCCGAACGTTGTACACCTCCTTGCCTCAGGGCCAGAGGAGAGAATCATTCCTCTACAGATCTGACTCTGACTATGACATGTCCCCCAAAGCCGTCTCCCGTAATTCTTCCATTGTTAGTGAAGGGTGAGCTTAAACAAAAACAGATTAGAGATTGTACAGTTCTCCGTTGTTCTGTGTTTATCCATATCTTAACCGTTTCTCCTTATAAAAGGCATACAGCAGAAGACTTCATTGTCACACCTTTTGCTCAAGTGAGTCTGACAAAATATGAAAGGTCATAAAATTATGCGAAAATGTAAAAATTTTTTCTCTACAAATGTATTACATAGTGATTTTTTCTAATGATTTAGGTACTGGCAAGTTTGCGATCAGTACGAAGCAACTTCACCATCCTTGCCAACGTCTCTACACCTACAGTGAAGTAAGAACTAAGCTTTTCCAAAAATTATTGATATTATAAGAAGAGTAATTTTATTTCAAACAATGCAGTGAAACGCCAAATAACTTCCGCTCATTTATATGAATTTATTATATGAATAACACATTCATATAAATGAATCTTCCATCAAAATGTAAATTCCATGGAATATTATTGTTATTAAAACCCACCATTTTAGGAGAGCTTTTACTTGAACTCTTCCGCCCTTTTTTTCTTTTATTGTCTTTGATTATTTTATCTTTTCTTGTACTTTTTATTTCTCATGCTCTTCATGTAAGGCTTTTTTATTTAGCCCTTACCTGTTTTACTATGTAGCACTTGGGGTTTGTTTAAATATAAAGTGCATTACAAGTCCAAAGTATTATTATTATTATTATTATTATTATTCACTTAATTTAAAAGGTTACAAAATACACATTAAGATTAAATTGTCTTTTTTAAGAGTGACCTGGTCAGGAGGGCCAAGGGTATAAAAAGCAACATTCAGAGCAACAATCATGCAACAATAATAAAAAGAAACAAAGTTGCATAAAAAGACGATGTGTATTCAATTTACAAACAACAACAACAACAACAAAAAAAAAAAAACAGACATTAGAACCAGCCACATTTTGCTCTTTGGTCATTTAGCCAAATAGAAACAGACCTATTTGATAAATTCAGCTTTTTTTTTTTCAACAACAAAAGTTTTATCATGTTTAGTTGGAATAAGAGAAAACCTTCATTTAGCTGCCTCTAATTGAGAAATTATCTGCAATTACCAGGTTTCCTGGTGCTCTTGAATAGAGAATAATGCTCTAATATTTATTTACCCATTTTTATTTTGATGTTTTTGTCTTTTATTTCTGTTTTTTATTTGCCCAAAAAACATTAAGGTTGTAAACAACTGTCCATTTACTAGACCCTTCTTTAGCCTTCTCTCTGATTCATAGTAGCCGCTGTGATTTCAGGAGATCTCCCTTAGGTGGAGTGTGCCCCAGCCCCAGGGGGACACTTTCAGATCAGCAGTACCAGCAGCTGGCCTTAGACACTCTGGAAGAGTTAGATTGGTGTTTGGACCAGTTGGAAACCATTCAGACCCACCGCTCTGTCAGCGAAATGGCTTCTACTAAGGTAGGAATATCTTTCAGAATCAGATGTCCAACCTACATATCATGAATCAAAATATGTAAAAGAGTGTCATTCAAGATTAATTTCAATGTTTTCTTTTTTTGGAGTTAAGAATTTAAAGTCTCCGAAAGCTTTACCACAAATATTTACTAGTGTATCTGTTTTCTTGAGATTTTTCAACACTCAAAATGCAATTGAAATAATATATCAGAGAAAAAGGTTAATATTTTAGATCAGTTATGATTATCCCAGCTGTTTCTATTTATAAAATTTGAGGATAACAAAAGATCATATTTTTACTTTGCCTTTAAACTTTGCCAAAAGCCCAGATGATAATGCCTCAGCCTATTTAACCGTCGACGTAGAAAAGTGGAGTTTAAAAGAGGCACAATTATGGATATGTTTTATGATACACCTCAAACACGTCGTCTTCTTGCATGACATATTTAAAAATTACAAAAACAAATAAGCTTTCATTTCATCAGGCAGATGATAATATGTGTACTTTGAATCTCTATAGGTATGGTTTCTTCATGTATCTAATTACTTCATGCCAATTATTAGGACTTGGATATATTAACCCATCAGCTCGTTTACAAAGGAGTCAGATTTTGTGTCCAAAATATCAACTTACTCTGATAAATTTCATAAAGATGGAACTCAGAACAAAAGCTAAACAGTAATGGTGGTAAATGAAGACAGTGTCAGTAAAGCCTGGGAAATAATTCTAGTATCAAAATAGACTGAAAGGCCAATAAGAGAGGAAGAAGCCATTACTATAAAAGTAACACACAAAGCAAAGTTTGCAGTGTGGATAGGAAGACATCATTATTATTGAATGCAGAGGAGAGCACAGCACTTCACAAAACAGATTACATCATAAGGGAATAACCTTGTGTAAATGTAGTTGAGCAACATTGTGGCTAATCAGCCAGTACATTAAAGCTTGGGCACAAATAGGTCTTTCAAATTACAATGACTGTCAAAAAAAATGAGAAAGCTGCTTATGAAAAAACTGCAGAACTTCTGACCCAAGTACTATCTTAATTTGAGATATACTAAATGATTTTCAGGTCTATATAAAGCACTTGGCCTGGATCAATGCTCCATGCAGGATGTCCTTCTCAAAAAGTTGGTTAAGATTCTTGAGAGGTTTGGATCCTTCACTTAGTTATATGACCTACAGTAGTGCTCCACTTTACGGCAGTCTCAGGGTCCCTTAAACAGGAGAGGCAACTAAGCTAAAAGTTATGATACTTAACTGATCAGACATATTTTAGGTTCTCTGTGTAAGACTCAAGAGGAGCATAGAGTAGTTATATAGGTCAGTTAGAGCTAATGTGGCCTTGAATTTAAAGGTAACTCCACGACTTCTTAATTTCTTGATTCAAAGAGGGTCTGCTGTCTAATACCAACTTATTTTTGTTAGGGGAGTGCCTTCAGTGGCCTTTAGAGGGGCTAAACCTTAGAGTTTCAGGTCAAGTGCCCCCTGGTGTTATGCAGTGTCGCTTTGAGGTCAGCAAAGTCGATGTTTCAGAGTGCCCATAAAGTAACCCTGAGAAACTACGCAGACAGAACTGTAAATATGGGTGTGAGCAAGGCAGCCTTCTTACCTTTCTATATTACAAAGTTACAGTCATGTATGTGAGAAGCTTGTGAAAAGAACCCTAGCGCGTTTTATTTTCTTAAATACTTTAGTTCATACCAACTTCTAAGGAAACAAATTGGAAGTGAACCTGATAATGACAAAATTAAAATGAAATCATTTTATCATTGTTCTCCTGTCCAGTAGGTAGAAATAAGCTTTATGCTAACTGACTGAAAATGGTAACATTTTGTCCATTCAAAATGATCAACATTATTTTTACCGTCTATGTATAAAATCTGGTTTCATCTGTGATATTAAACCTTCTTCTTTGTATTTTAACTAATACTGACCAACCAGAAGGAATCCTTATTTATGAGGATCCTTAAGGGACGCTTTTTCTTCATAATTCCCTAGTCATTTTACTGCAACATTTAGTTCTTGTTGATCATTTCTCCTTCTGAGCCATAAATTGATTCTTAGTAAGGTACATTGATAATATAAAGAAAGCATACTGACCAATACTTCATCTCTGTTTTCTCCTTATTTTGCTACAGTTTAAGAGGATGCTGAACAGGGAACTCTCTCACTTATCAGAGATGAGCCGCTCTGGGAACCAGGTGTCGGAATACATATCCAGCACTTTTCTGGGTGAGTTGGATCAGAAAAAGATTTATTTCGACATCACATTCGTCACCTTTGATAAATAAATTCAACACAGGTGATGCATATTCTTTTCCTCACAGACAAACAGAATGAAATGGAAATCCCCTCTCCAACACTTAAAGACAAATCTATGAGTCACATTAGCGGGGTGCGGAAACTGTCTCACAGCTCCAGCCTGTCTAGCGCCTCCATGCCTCGCTTTGGGGTCAACACAGACCATGAGGACGAGCTTGCCAAGGTGTGGCTTGCAGCCTGGATAACTCAATTGCACAAATGACACCCCACAGACATAAAATCTAAAGACATTAGCCTAAAAACCCTGAACTATAATCATTGGTTTAACACTACAAATGTCAAAAAATATGGCTTTTAATAATTGTATTCCTGTGTGGTACTAAACAGGAACTGGAGGATTTAAACAAATGGAGTTTTAATATATTCAAAGTAGCTGAGTTCTCCAATAACAGACCCCTCAGCTGCATCATGTATGCCATCTTCCAGGTAAAAAGCAGCAAGAACTGCAAAATTCTTCTATCCTTATGAGTTTTTAAAATGTACAATTTTATTTTGAACTTTGTCTCCTATCTGCCTCCCTCCACAGGAGCGGGAGCTCTTGAAGACGTTTCGAATCCCCGTTGACACTTTTGTCACCTATGTGATGACCCTAGAAGACCATTACCATGGAAACGTAGCCTACCACAACAGCCTCCATGCAGCAGATGTTGCCCAGTCTACACACGTCCTCCTCTCCACACCTGCTCTGGATGTAGGTTAATTGTACACCCATAAACATGACAAATATGCAGGATGCTACAGTTTTTTAGTGAACATGTCAGGAGAAAAATTCAAAATGGAAAGCAGAAACTAAGAGAGAAAAAAAAAACATCCTGGAAGATTTGAATGTAGGTTGCTATAAAAATATTTTTTTGTTTGTTTGGGGTATTTATAGTGTTTTTGAAACATGTTATATTAGTGTATTGTTCAAGTTAAACATTTTTTAATGTGATTTAAGACTTTTTCTTACTATTTTGTTGGGATTTGAACTAGCAATATCCCTTACAGACCAAACACTGTGAGCTGTCAGTCTTCTATGCATAATATCTAAACAAAAAAGCTTTTTGTTACATTTTTCCCCTGAGAAAAAAAAAGAAAAAAACAAAAAAGACTGCCTTTGGTGCAGCATCCATCTGTTTTTAATCTCTCTTGAAACAAGTCCCAAGAGTGGGCATGTCTAAGTGTAGAGCCTGTTATTTTTATAGCTCACTAATGGCAATCAACTGAAACTAATAACTCAGTAAATTAACAAGTACGCGTTTGCTTGTCAGATGCTTTAGTCAGAAATGTAAATAAACTATGTTAAACCAGCCTGACCTCAAGCTCACACTGTGATGATGATTTACAATATGTGTTGTTTTCCCAAAAAATTTTTTTTATTGCTGAACACAGATTTAAAGGTTTGTCAACTTTTCAAATACTCCGACTTAGGACCATAGCATATGTGCTCAAATTATTCATGATTCTTTTTTTATAAACACTTTTTTATACATTAGGGAAAAATGTATTTTTCCCTAATGTGTCTTTTTTTCTTCAAGATCTATGATGACATAAAAAGAATTCCCGAAAAGTGATGCAGCAAAATATATTACTTTATTTACCCTTTATTTTAAAAGGAAATAAATCCTCTTTTACAAGGATGTTCTGAAAATATATATATACATATCGAATTTGAGTCATCATTGTAACTTCAGACGTGTAATTTTTATTCGCCATATCCAGAAATTTTTGACAATGGCTGCGAGGCTTAAGCTAATAAAGTGATGTATCATGTAATAGTAAAGAAGAAAATGTCTGATAATTAGGCTAAGCTATTGAAAACAATCAAATCAAATCAATGTTTTGCTGTTATAATTAATTGTAATTATGCAGCCTTACTGGGAAAAAAAACAGATGATGGGGAAAACTAAACTTGACAGTATTGTCAGATGGTTAATAATTGAATCAGAGGACGTCTAAGCTCTCTATTTAAAAGAAGATTATTGTCTATGCAGGAATGTTGGCTATGCATTCAGTGGGTAAACTTTTCCATTTAATATTGTTGCTGTTGTTTTACTTTTTGGTTGAATGGACTGAGCTCATGCAGCAATTTTCTGGTTAACTCAAACAACAAAGGTTATTTACTACACCCTATATCTAGAACAGTCAGTAACTGGTTAAAATGTTGGAAGGAAGCAATCTAAAATAAAATAATACCAACAGCTTTCTGGATTCACTGGCTCTACAGCTAGCCAAAGAGTACAGAATTTGCATTTCAGGTCAACTTGTTTCCACAATGAAGATATGTCTTTGCATTGGTTAAGGGAATTGTTAATTAGCCATCAGTAGATTACAGTAAGGCTACATTTTACAGCAGTTTTTCAATCTTAAATCTTTGTATGTTATAATATATGCTGGATTTGGAAGGTAGGAAATAAGATTGGTCCACTAGTTGATTATGTAGTGCATTTTTTTTTTCAAACATCTATTAAGCATTATTTGAACAGTCAGAAATTTGCAGACATTTCTTAGTATATAGCAAAACATTTTTTGTGTGTAACCAGGCTGCCTTCACCGATCTGGAGATCCTCGCTGCTCTGTTTGCTGCAGCTATTCATGATGTGGACCATCCTGGAGTTTCAAACCAGTTCCTCATCAACACCAGTGAGTACATCATTCATGCACAAAGCCAGCAGCTTGTGCCTCAGTAAGTTGCTTCTGCATTGCTAGGTTGTGCATATTTGTCACACTGTTGTTTGTATCACCTACCTCTTTGCACTTAGACTCAGAGTTGGCGCTGATGTACAACGATGAGTCAGTCCTGGAGAACCATCATCTGGCTGTAGGTTTTAAACTCCTGCATCAGGAGAATTGTGACATTTTTCAAAACCTCACCAAGAGACAGCGACAGTCCCTGCGCAAGCTCGTCATTGATATGGTTTGGGCCTCTGCAAAACTACACATAACATGCATATAGATTTAATATCATGTATCAGTCTTTGTTTGGATAGGTTTTCTACAAAGATTTTATAAAATATTCTGTACTGGCGCGGGATTGTTTTTTTTAAATGTGTGTTTTTGCCATATGATTTATTACGTTTTAAATACATTTTATAGATGAACCCTTGTACACAAACAAGAAACCTTTGACCTGATGTTGTGCATTTCAGTTATTTAAAATTTAGTAGTTAATATAAATATATAATTATATATATATATATATATATATATATATATATATATATAAATATATATATTTTGATTTATGTTGCATATCCAAGATGTTAAAATTTATATTATGTCCAGGCACATGGTTATTTATGTGGCAAAAATATAAATATATAATTATTTTTTTTTTATTTAATTCCTTACACTTAGTTTTTTCAAAAAAGAAACAATAATTTGACGGTATCCTTTGTTTTTACATAACTAAGTTTTTTCTAAACAGCAACTCATAGTGATTAAGTGGTAGAATAAAAAGTCAACGTCTAAGATAAAGATAGTCAAATTACTAACACTAGTAGGAAAATGTTAAAATTTAACTGAATCTTTTTTGGTCTGCAGGTGTTAGCCACGGACATGTCCAAACACATGACTCTGCTGGCCGACTTAAAGACCATGGTGGAAACCAAGAAAGTGACGAGTTCAGGTGTTTTGCTGCTGGATCACTACACAGAGAGAATACAGGTGAGGTGTCAATATCAATTTATTTCTCCATCTCAGTGACTTAAATTCCAATATTTTTTTTCTGTCAATTTTTCAAAACACATTGAAAACATTAAGTATATATTTTACAAATTTCTTCATTATTTTTTTTCTTGCAGGTACTGAAGAACATGGTCCACTGTGCAGACCTGAGCAACCCAACAAAACCCTTACCGTTATACAGGCAGTGGACAGAGAGGATCATGGAGGAGTTCTTCCGACAGGGCGACAGAGAAAGAGAGAGGGGGATGGAAATCAGCGCTATGTGCGACAAACACACTGCCTCTGTGGAAAAGAGTCAGGTAAAACTCCAGCTGCATGTTGCTTCTAATGTTATGAAATAATGTTAGTTACTGGTGAGATAGCTAATTTTGACTATTTTTAATTTTTCAAACTTTAATCTGAGATAACTGTGATAATTTATTTTTTGCAGTATTAATTGAATAAAATAGTATTAACAGAAATCCTAAACCGCATAGACTAAGGGTAACTCTTAAATATTACTTTGCAATTCTTACCTGTATTTGAGGGGGAGAGATATTGACTTAAGATTTTATCTTAATTATGGATTTCTCCCCAATAATGATATATATATTATGATATAAAGTATTTTCTTTTTCATTTAAGTCGCTACTTTTAATTATACATTGTACACATTAACTGTGTCCGGTTCTGAAATATGTTGATTTTAATTTAAGATTTTATGGAACAATGGTTTAGAAAAAAGTTAAATTATTCATATCTCAAATGCATTTCTTGTTAGAGGCCAATCTGAAGTCAAAGCATTTTAAGACTTTATTTCTGTATGATTATTGCTTCTCTTTGCCTCTTACCTAGAAACATGAAATAAACACAAATTTTAATATGTGTTTTGGTTTTATTGGTCCAATCTGCACTATTTAATTCAATGTACATAATGGACTCACCTGGTTCAGTGGCTGAGCAGAACAAACACATGACATTGAGATGACTTGATGGCTCCACATCTCCCACCTCTGCATGTTAGTCTACAACATGTCTTAAAGAATCATAATCAAACTCTGATCCCCCTAGTTAAGTTAGAGTGCAACTATTGTTATTACTAACAAATATTCCAGCTTCTGGACATCTTACATTAAAGATTAACTGATCTTTTCAATGCCAACACCGATTATGTTAATATTAGGCTAACCGAACCTCGATTTTTGCTCCTAGTTTTTTTTTTGGGCCCATAAATGACAATAACAAATGTTACACTAATATCAATTTCAAATAAGAAGAAGCATTAATCAACAAATCTAACAAAATATATCACAATAAATGGCAAATGGAGGTAGGGGAAAAACATACATCAGATGATCTCGAGGCATCGCTGCTGAATGCACTACTGAATCAGGGAATGCATGCATCTGCCTCTTGATGCTGATACAAGACCTCCTCCCCCTAATATTGGAAAAAGGATCACCCAAGTCAATATTAATCTACATCTATCTCACACACCACTATTTACTGCTCATCTTAAAATGGGAAGGGTTATGAAATAAATAAAAACCAACCAAGTCATGGCTGTCCACTAAAACCAACATCAAAGAGAGCATCCGTGACCTGACCTAACCCCTAAAAGTTGACAGGACAGCTGAGTCATCCATTCCACAAAGCTGGGCTTTATGGAAGGGTGACAATAAGCTAGACACTGTTGAAAGGAAATCATCAGCAGTCCTGTTAGCAGCAGTAGGAGATTCAGCTAACATGTGATGGAGATGCTCATGTCATATGGGACTAAATCGGAGCTTTCAAGTCTCCATCCCTATGGTAAAACATGGTAGTATTATGCTATGGGGTAACTTTCACACAGGGATGTTGTTTAGATATAGGATAGGCTGGAGCTAAGTATAGGTATCTTTGATATAAAAACCAGGACTACAGACACTTGAAACTGGGTTGGAGATTCACCTACTAGCAGACACAACCCAAATGTACGGTATAACCCACACAGGACATGTTTTTAAAAGAGAAAATATATTTTTTTTCATAATTCTCCTGTTAAACAAGTCAGTGTTGCATCATTGCTGCATAAAAGGTTATAGTCTTTGACATGGCCGTCTGCCATAATGAGGTTAGGACGTGACAGAAATTCATATAATTATGCTATTCAAACTGCAAAATATAGACTAAAAAATAATAGGAAAAGACACAACTTACCCTGATTTAGTGAATGGCTGACGCTCTTAAATATAAAAGCAAATATGATGGTGTGTACATTTGCATGTGTCACACACAGTTGTATGAAGAAATAATCTATTTTTATATAATTCAGTCCATCCTGTCATGCAAAGTTTTGTGGGACTCCACATAGGTCCTCGGTGCCATATAGGAATGCTGGGCGGTACCTATGCTGAGCATTGTATTCTGATGAACCTACAGTCTTCTATAGATTTCCGTTTAACCTCACTCTTCTTATAGTAAGTGCAGGGATTTCATGTTGATGTGGTCATCAAAAGGCAACAAAAAGCAAGCAATTATTTTGCCCATTGTCAGCTCTAAAGATAAAAGTAAAGCTGTACTTGATTTTTTTTTTTTTTTTTTTTTTTTTTACAAAATTAGCCTTTTTCTTAGCACTCTATTGCATATCTTCAAGTGTGAAATCCTTTTTTTTTTATGCCATTCCCTCTTTTGTAGGTGGGCTTCATTGACTACATTGTACACCCTCTATGGGAGACGTGGGCTGACCTGGTACACCCAGACGCCCAGGAAATCCTGGACACCTTAGAGGAGAACAGGGAGTGGTACCTGACCACTATGCCTCAATCACCTTCGCCTCCCCCCGATAGACACCTCCAGCATGACCGCTTCCAATTCGAACTTACACTGGAGGAGCTGGAATACAACAATCACAACAACATATACAAAAGGAGCAGTGGCTGTGCAAGAGGCGTCAAGGAAGGCCAGAAAGCCATGTGCGAAGACAGCAATGGGAAGCAGGAGGGAATAGGTGAGGAGGATCAGAACCTTGCTGAGGATGAGGAGGAGGATAAGGAGAACCACAACAGTGAACAAAATGGAATCCAGGAACAGGAGGAGGAAAACACTGGAGGAAAGGAAGATGAAAATGAAGAGGAGATAAAGGAAGCTCTTGAGGAGAAGGAAGAAGGAGGAGGAGAAGAAGAAATCAATAGTGAAGAAGAAGGAGTGGAAATCAATGGCAAAGAAGATGAATCAGCAAAGGAAGACAATGAAGCCATTGAGGAAGAGGTAGACGAGGAAGAGAATGAAGTTAGGGAAGCTGAAGGAGAGGGAAACGAGGAGGAGGAGGAAGGTGAGAATGATGACGCAGAAGTAGAAGAGGAGACAGAGACAAATTTAAGTGAAGGAGAAGAAGGCAAATATGAAGATGAAGGCAACACAGAAGAAGCTAAAGAGGAGGAAACTGAGATGGACAGTATAGACGAGGAAACTGAGCAGGAAGTAGTAGCAAAAGAGAATGCAGAGGAGGAAGAAGAGGCACCTCAGGAGGGTGAAGAAGATGAAGTACCAGAGGAAGAGGAGAGTTAGCTAAATAGACAAATGATCAGGGTCACTGAGTGAAATGGGTAAAAGAGAGATGATGAGGGGCCAGAGAGGTTCTTAAAGGCAGAAGAGGGGCTTTAAAGAGGCAAAAAAGCTGAAATATGTATGTCTTTCCAGATAACGCAGTCTAACTGCTTTACCATGTGAAGGTCAAATTACTCTCATCCTTAGAGCTATATTTTGCACCAACAGTAAAGAACTGAAGATGGGAAACGGGAATTTTTCTGAACAGCCCGAGAAAGATGGTCATCCGGTAGTAAGAGAAACGAGGGTCTTCTACCCTGTGTAAGTACGTATATCACTGCCGTTTAGGATAAATGGGGAAATAACAGTAATAAAACTGGGGGACTGGTTTAAACAACCGCTTTGTAGCTCCTGGATACAAATTAAAGAAAAAAAAAATGCTGAAATTCGTACATGCAAATAAGTGTGTGCGTGTTTTGCAGCTGTTATAGACTGTCACGCATTGTCTCTTGGTCACTGTCTATTGTTTTATTGATAAGGACCATAACACAAACCTAGACCATTATAACTCAAGTGCAAATTTCAAAATAATTCCAAAAAGAGATTTAAAAAATATGACCAGAAAGGTGTAATTTGCTGTCTTATATTTAGTACAAAACCCTTCTCAATCTATGAGCAGTATGTTTCATATACTGTGGTTAAGAAACTGTGTAAGCCCCTCACTCCCTTACCCTAAAGCAACAATGCTGGATTTCTGACCCCATTTCTAAATAAAACACAGACTGTTCTCGTCAAGTGGAAACTTACAAGGCTGATGTATTCTATGTTGTCGATGTTCAGTCTTGTCGAGAGTTTAAAAAAAAGAAAATTATCACACCAAGTGTTTATGCCATTGTGACATTGTAACCTGAGTTGTGCCAAACTGTCCCACAACCAGCACTGAGCAATGCAGCCTCCAGATTAGGTGGCTACTCTTCACGAAGCAATGAATCTGTGGGACCAGGCCAGCAGGTGTGATGGTCTTCCACAAATTTATGTTTTTGTTTTTTGTAAACAAATATGTATTTGGCACTTTATCAAACACCCTTGTTGCATATATGTACATAATAAACATGTATTTTAATCTGCTGATGTCATAATAAATATGATCAATTCATTTGATGGATTTGTGTTTTATTAAAGAAAAATTTGAGCAACACTGTGTTGTGTTGGGTAGCACCATCGGCTCACATTAAGAGGGTCCAGAGTATCGAACCAGGACCTTTCTTTGTGGTGTTTGCATGTTTTCCTGAGTCTGCGTGGCTTTGTTCAGGCTTCCTTCCACAGTTCAAAACCTGCATGTTTATTGGACATTTCTAATTGCCATTAGGAAAGAGTGGGGATGTGCGTGGTGGTTCGTCTTTGCGTATCTCTGTATCCCCCCTTCGATAGAGTCAGAATAATTGGCTGAAAAATATTAACTCAAGCACATCTTAGATGCCATGCCAAAGATTCCTCTTTATGCATTTTGTCTGTCATCTCTGCTGTTTGCAAATAGTTTTGTGCTGTTGGCCTCATCAAACCAGGACCTTCAGCGTGCATTGGGGCGGTTTGCAGACGAGTCTAAAGCCGCCTGGATGAGGATCAGCACCTCTTAATCCAAGGACATGGTTCTCCACGAGAGAAAGGTAGACTGCCCTCTTCAGGTTGGTGTAGAGTGCTTGTCTCAAGTGGAGGAGTTCAAGTATCTTGGTGTAACTCTTGTTCACAAGTAAGGGACGGAGGGCTTGTGAGATGGATAGCTGCTGCGTCTGCAGTGATGCTGTCACTGTGTTGGACTGTTGTGGTAAAGAGGGAGCTGAGTTGGGGGCCAAAGCACTCATTTACCAATCGATCTATGTTCCTATCCTTACGTATGGTCATGAGATCTGGGTAATGACCGAAAGAACAATATCACAAATACAGGTCCTTCTAAAATATTAGCATATTGTGATAAAGTTCATTATTTTCCATAACTTAATGATAAAACTTAAAACTTATTTTCATTCACTTGTAAATGGTTTACTGACCATGGTATCACTGTGCTCTATTGGCCTGCCAACTCTCCTGACCTGAACCCCATAGAGAATTTGGGATATTGTGAAGAGAAATTTGAGAGACGTAAGACCCAACAATGTGGTTGAGTCAAAGGCCGCTATCGAAGCATCCTGGGCCTCCATAGCACCTCAGCAGTGCCACAGGCTGATGGCCTCCATGCCACGCCGCATTGAAGCAGTCATTTCTGCAAAAGGATTCCCGACCAAGTATTGAGTGCATAACTGACATAATTTTTTGAAGGTTGACTTTTTTGTATTAAGAACACTTTTCTTTTATTGGTCAGATAATATATGCTAATTTTGTGAGCTAGGAATTTGGGGTTTTGATGAGCTGTATGCCAAAATAATCTGTATTTAGACAATAAAAGACCTGAAATAATTCAGTTAGTGTGCAATGAATCTAAAATATATGAATGTTCAAGTTTTATCATTACAATATGGAAAATAATTAACTTTATCACAATGCGCTAATATTTTGAGAAGGAGCTGTACAAGCGGCCAAAATGGGTTTCCTTCGCAAGGTGGCTGGGAGCACCCTTTGAGATCGGGTGAGGAGCTCAGTTACCTCTGAGGAGCTCAGAGTAGAGTCGTTGATGAAAAGAGCCAGCTGAGGTGGCTCGGGCATTTCTTCCAGATTCCTCCTGGTCATCGTCGTTGTGGAGGTGTTCCAGGCATGTCCTGATGGAAGAAGGCCTCATGGAAGACCTAGGACACGCTGGAGGGACTAGGTCTCTGAGGTGGCCTGGTGTCACCTCAAGGTCCCCCTAGAGAAGCTGGAGGAGGTGTGTGTGGATTGAGAAGTTTTGGCATCTCTGCTTAGACTGCTGTCTCCGCAACTTGGGCCTGGATAGAGCGGAAGAAAATTAATGGATGGATGCAAGTTTAAATAAGTTACAATAATTCTAAAACCAATCCTAGCTAAGTATCAATCAGGCAAGTATCATTTGAAAGTCTTATTTAGAATTTGGTAGAGCTACAAATGTCATTAGGAAAAGAAACTTGTCTAGTTCTTGATCCATAATTAAGTGCAAATAAACATGTTGAAGACTTCTTCCTCTTGTTTTCTGTCTGACTTGTTTTTATTATTTACTTATGTTCTTTTCCAATTGAGTAGGTTATATTATGTTGAAATACCCTTTGAACTGAAAATTCCTAAATTGGGATTTTTGTCCATTTTATTGGGTAACTGTAACCTGAATTTGAATGTTCCTTGTAAGGTAATGTCTTCTACCGTGCTTTTTTGACTCATTCTATTTTGGATATTGATACTCTCTTTCAAAAAGTCTATTCTTATATTATGGGACTAAGATTTATTGATCACATCTATTAATAAACAATTTTATTGTTAAACATGCTAAACAAAGGGAAGCTGAGTTTAATAAACTGTGGACTTTTCTTCCTTCTACTTTTTTGAGACAAAATGAGAATTATTAATAATTCTCTGAGTTTAATCCATTTTTTCAGCTGAGTTAAAAGTTCCATAGTTGCTAACATAGGATTTTCTGTTTTTCAAGGCTGTTTTATATCAGTGTTCAAAGGAATTAATTCA